CCACAGCAACTCTCTGTCTCATATCACGAATGGCAAAACAACCCAGAGGAGGCTAGTCAGAGAAGCTCTCAACACATGGGCTTGCCAGAAACCATATCAACATTAGCAGCATCACCAGATTTCAAAAATTTAGGGCCATCTTTTGACTTTTTACCAGAACGGTGATTAATCTTTTCCTTCAGCTTAGCAAACTTGCAAGCAATGTGAGCTGTGTGACAATCTAGTACAAGGGCATAGCCAGCACTGGTTTGGCCTGGATGATCAGGATCAAGTCCTGAACAGTGAAGCCAACTGCTTCCATTGGTGTGTTATTTTTGCTGTCACCAGTAAAATCGAACATCTTTGAATGACATGTTCTTGACATTGAAACCCAGGTTGTCCTCCGGAAGAGCTTCACTCAGACCTCCATGGTGCATTTCAACAGACTTTACTACAGTTGTCACATTGACTGGTGCAGAGGTGACCACCATACCAGATTTGAGCACAGTAGTCACCACTCGGCCCACAGGGACAGTGCCAATACCACCAATTTTGTACACATCCTGGAGGGGCAGACACAAGGGCTTGTCAGTTGGATGAGTTGGTAGCAGGATGCAATCCAGAGCTTCAAGCAGTGTTGTTCCACTGGCATTGCCATCTTTATGGGTGACTTTCCATCCCTTGAACCATGGCTAGTACTTGGCTCCAACATGTTTTCACCATTCCAGGCAGAAATTGGCACAAATGCTACTGTGTCAATAATTGTAGCCAATTTTCTTAATGTAGGTGCTGAGACAGAAATTGGCACAAATGCTACTGTGTCGATAATTGTAGCCAATTTCCTTAATGTAGGTGCTGACTACTTTAACAATTTCCTCGTATCTCTTCTGACTGCAGGGTGGCTCAGTAGAATCCATTTTGTTAACACCAACAATTAGTTGTTTCACACCCAGTGTGTAAGCCAGAAGGAAGGGCATGTTCCTGGGTCTGTGCTCTGTGCGTTCTTGGAGATACCAGCTTCAAATTTAGCAACACCAGCAGCAACAATCAGGACAACACAGACAGCTTCAAATTAAGCAACACCAGCAGCAACAATCAGAACAGCACAGTCAGCTTGAGGTGTGCCTATAATGTTTTTGATAAAGTCTCTGTGTCCTGGGGCATCAATGATAGTCACATAAAACTTGCTGGTCTCACATGTCCACAGAGAGATATCAGTGGTCATACCACGCTCACGTTCAATTTTCAGTTTAACCAAGACTCAGGCATATTTGAAGAGCCCTTTCCCATCTCAGCAGCCTCCTCAAAATTTTTCAATGGTTCCTTTGTCGATCCCACCACATTTGTAGATGAGATGGCCAGTAGTGGTGGACTTGCTGGAGTCTACGCGTCCAATGACAATGATATTGATGTGAGTCTTCTTTCCCATTTTGGCTTTGATTTAGTGGTGATTTTCATGACACCTGTGTTCTGGCGGCAAACCCATTGCAAAAAGGAGTAACTTTTTTTTTTTTTAAAAGAGAATTATTTATTTATTTAAATCCATTTATTACTATTATTTTTTAATTTGACCAGACAGAGATGGAGAAAGGGAAAACGAGAAAGCAAGCCACCAGGTCCAGAAATCAAACCACAGTGCCCTCAACCACTACCATCTGCTGGCCCCCTGAAGGACCTTTTAAACATATTGTTCCATTAACATTTTATAGAGGAACTGAGTTAACATTCATTATCCATTTCCAAATCTTCCAACATTGTCTCATAGTCATAGATTTTTTGGGCAAATTCCACATCAACTTCAAATATCTTCATCAGAACTCTGCAGCTTAATTGAAAACATGGTTTTTAGTCTCAAAAAGATGGCTGGCCAGAGGCTGATGAGAGTAGAGTGGCATCAGCAGAGGATAAGACAAAGAAAACAAGGCTACTATCCATATGACATTTCATTAGGGACCAAATTCTAACTCTTAGGGGACAAACCATTACCCAAAATAGCACTGATTTCTGGTGTCATCCCATTGTAATCTGAAAAGATATTTGATATGATTTTGATCTTAAATTTGTTAAGATTTATTTTTAGCCTTAATATGTACTCTTTCCTAGAGAATGTATTATGTATGCTTGAGAAGAATGTGTATTCTCTATTAGGTAGAAAATTCTGTATATATTTGTTAGGTCTGTTTAATCTATAATATTATTTAAGTCTACCATTTCTTTACTGATTTTCTCTGGATGTTCTATCCATTATTGAAAATGGGTTATTGGGGCCAGCAGGTAGCATAAATGTTAAGCACTGGATTGCACATGGCCAACCATAATTTGAGTCCTGGACCCAGCATCTTGAAAATCTCACCTGGTATGTGTACATGTGTGCCCGGAATCCTGAAAGGAGAATGGAGGAGAAGGATTATAGCATGACCATCCCTGCTGGTGGCAGGGACGGGAGGGGTCATTTCTCACTTCTCTGGCAACCACTTGCACCCTATAGTAAAAATTAAAAAAACAAAAAGAAGGAGAAGAAGAAAAAGAAAATGGGATATTGAATTCTACTATGATTGTATTGCTGTCAATTTCTCCTTTCAGATCTGTCGATTTTGCTTTGTATACTTCAGTGATCTCATGTTGCATGCATATATGGAAAATGGAAAATGCATATATGTATGGATTTCAAATTTTTTACACTCATACTTTAATTTTGTGTGTCCTTGAATGTAAAATTAGTTTCTTGTGGGTAGCATTTAGCATTTTTAATCCATTCAGCACTCTATCTTTTAGAGGAAGTGTTTAATCCATTTATGTTAATTACTTTTCATTTTGAATGTGATGAGGTGTGACTGGAGAGATTTGAGGAGAATATAGGAGGTAAGGAAGTAGAGATTGTTCAGAGAACTCTTTGGAGGAATTTTTATCGATAAGGTATATGGTACATAAAAAAATTCATGGAGCTGAGGGGAAATTTTTTCTTTTAAAGATTGGTGATAGCACAGCCTGTATGTTCTGAGAATAGTCAAGTAGATAATCAGGAACTGATAAAGAATTGATGCAAAAAGAGTGGCCAATTGCTAGAACAGTTCTTGAATTAGAATAGCATTACCATATTGGCCAGGCACTATTTCATTTTTAGTATCTCCAATACTAAAATTGGTTATACAGGGATGACCAATCCCAATTAAATGCCAACTTCATGAGAAACTGAAATCCCTAGGTAGTTCATGAACAAAGCTTTTATTAAGCGCTTAAATGGTGTGTCAAGCAGAGTCCCTCATGTTGATCCACATACTCAATAATAGAAATTCAAGCAGTTGTTAAATGTGTTTTCAGAGAACCTCAAAGTCAATAAAATAAGTATCTGTATTCCAGAGTTTATAATCTGGTACAATCATTCTCATCCAGGGACAAGTCTGCCCACCTGGGATATTTAGCCATGTCTTTTGATCGTCATATCTAGGGGACAAGCGTGCTACTGACAACTAGTAGTCAGAGGGTCAGGGATGCTGCTGTACTTCCTGCAGTGAACAGATAGGCCCTCACAACAAGGATTTATCTGGTCCAAAATGTCAATAGTGTTGAGACTGAGAAAGCCTGATCTAGTAAATGGGGTAAAAATACAAAGAAAATTAAAACTCGGGAGGATATGATGTGCTCTGAGGGCAATATGAAATGCTGAGGAGATCAGAGAAACTTCTGTTTGGGGAAATCAGGTAAAACTTCTTATGGGTTCATTTGAATAGGACATGGAGCATATATAGGTGATTACTGAAAAGTGAGGTTAGAGGGAGAGATTGGGGCTGGATCTTGGAGGGCTAGGAATCCCAAAAGAATGATTTATCTTCGCCCATTTTGAAGAATATATATATATATACACATATATATATATGAATGATTTCTTTTTTGGAGAGAGGTTTTTGCTATGAGGGCGCAGGCACCGGAGAGATAGAAAGAAACAGAAAGTGAGAAACCACCCTCTCTGGGGGGGTGGGGGGGGCTGCCACAGTCCCTTCTCTGTTCTCCTCTTGGGATCTTGGGCACGCACACCCACATGCCTGGTGTGAAGTTTAAGCTACTGGGTCTGGGTCTCAAACTGGTTGACTACGTGGGAGTCTAGCAATATAACCATTATGCCATCTGCTGGTCCCAAAGAATTCTTACCATATGTAAAACGTACTTAGCTTGTTTTCTTACTTAGCCAATTCATTTCAACTATTATTATTTGAAGGGACATTTCTTCTTATTCTTTGTTTTCCACAGTGTCCAAAGAGTAGTATGTGTACAAGTTATTTATTGATTTGGTTTGTTCCAGGAACTGCTCTGCTGAACACGTTTTTCCTGAGTGGGGGGCTATGAATTAGAAATAGACATAGCAAACACACAAAGGCATACAAGTATAGAAAAGTGAGAATCGGGTGGGCCCGACTTCTCTGATAGAAAAAGCCACGCCCATGAACCAGCCTCCAGTTTATTATTTTATAGGGCAGAAAATGGGGGTGCTGAACATGTTTTTCCTGAGCGGGGGGCTATGAATTAGACACAGCAAACACACAAAGGCATACAAGTATAGAAAAGTGAGAATCGGGTGGGCCCGACTTCTCTGATAGAAAAAGCCACGACCATGAACCAGCCTCCAGTTTATTATTTTATAGGACAGAAAATGGGGGAAGAAGAAGTGGAATGCAAAGACAGTTTTCAGATGTTAATCGACTGTTGATGTGAAAATGACTGGTTCCATTTGGTTTCTTCTGATCTTTTTGGGCAAAATTCAATTAACACATGGGGCTTCCTTAGACTGATATTGCTTTGCAGTAGCAGCAGTTAGTATATTTCTATTTTAATGCTTTCATAGCTATGCAAATAAAGCTCATGAACAGCATTTGTGCATATATCTGAATGTGACCTTGTTTGTTCAGAATGGCCATTCTCCACAGGTTTGGTAAGCAAAGTTTGGTTTGCTATGTGTCAACTTCATTAATACAAGGAACCAAAGATACATATGTGATTTTTGACCTTTCCAGAAAAGAAAAAGAACCAGTGGTAACTGAGACAGTAGAAGAGAAGAAAGAACCTATCCTGATGTGTCCACCCTTACGAAGCCGAACATATATACCACCTGAAGATCTCCAGAATCATTTGGAGTCTTGTGTTAAGGAAGTTTTTGGTTCATCTCTTTCCACTAATTGGCAGGACATCTCCTTGGAAGATGTTCATCAGAAATTCAGTCTCTTGGCACATTTAGCTGATGACTTAGGCCATGCAGTGCCTAACTCCAAGCTTCACCAAATGTGTAGAGTAAAGGATGTTCTTGACTTCTACAGTATCCCTGTTCAAGACAGATCTAAATTTGATGAACTTAATGCCAGTAATCTGCCTCCAAATTTGAAAATCACTTGGAATTACTGAGCAATTCAGAAGAGAAATACAATGAAATAATTTCTTTCCCTGAGCACAAAGGTTGCTTATTAGACCTTTCGATACTTTACCAGGTGAAATGCTATCAAAACTTCTCTCAACACACTTTTTCTGAAGAACACATCCCTTTTTTCCCCTTATATCAAGAATTAGCAAATAAATAGTAGTATTTTCTATTTTCACATTTGCTGAAACCATTTTTTTTAATGGAGTCAGGTCACTAATAATTTATGGAAGTTTTCATCTTTGGAAGACATTATAATTGGGTTGAAAACTGGAGGCCGTTAAAAGTTCAGATGTGGTCTTCACACTTCATAGGCGTAAAGTAATAGTTGCAAGAACAAGTTTTAATCCTTTTAGGATTCTTAAATCTAAGAATTATATGTAGCACATATACAAATAAGCAGACTTGTAGATATTTATAGAAGAAACATAAAAAATGTGATATATATTATAAAAAACTGTTTCTATCCTGCAAGTACAAATAGTAGAAAATGATACTGTTCATTCTGGATTAATCTCTTGGAATTAAACTAGACTTCTTAAAAAAATAAAAAATAAGGTCCAGTAGGCGGTGTAGCGGTTGAGGCGCTAGATTCCCATGTGGTCGACTGTGGTTCGAGTCCCGGAACCGGTGGCTGGAAATCCC